GATGAAGAAAACTCTAGAAGCGTTCGTGCCCATGACTCTTTCTTCCCAAGATGTGGTCAAAACTATGTCATAACAAAAGAGATTTTTTTTTATTATTGAAAAGTATCTTTGTGTTCATCAAAATAGTTTTAGATTATTCTTTATACAATTAGCTCTAGTAATAACTTGTTTTCTACAGTAAATTGCAGAAAACAAGCTATTATTAGAGCTAACTGTATAAAGAATAATCTAAAACTATTTTCATGAACACAAAGATACTTTTCAATAATAAAAAATAAATCCCTTTTGTTATGACATTGTTTTGACCATATCTCCGGAAGGAAGAGTCATGGGTACGAATGCTTCTAGAGTTTTCTTAGTCTCATTGAGGTCTACCAGTAGCCAAAAGATGAAGCCGAAAGTTCGGAATCAATTGGAGTAGTTCTCTCGTAAGTAGTAATTCACCGTTCGAAAAAAAACAGGAATGCATCGAATCGTGTCTTGCAGATTTTCTGATATGTTTTTCAGAGAGTTTTGGTTTGAACGTTATAGAAACTCATCTAGAGCATGAAGTCATCACAATAGATTTTCAATTTTGAGACATCCATTAGAACTATCGATCAAAGATCTGTACAACACGGCCAGTCGAACACTATTAGAACCCGTTCATAATGCATCATTGGCACTTACTTGCGAGAAGTTAAGCGATTTTTTGATAAAATTAGCAGAAAAGGTTTTTTTCGTTATATTGCGGTGAGAGTTTATTCTATAGATCCATCTAAGAACGCATGTTTTTTGAATAAATCGGAAAAAATTCAAAAAATGTGTCAGAAATTCGATAAGACAGGACTTATTGCATTGTTACCTCCATCTTCCAATGATGAACACCGCATATCTCTACCATGCTTCTATCAAAAGATATTTATGTTTCTTTATTTGAAATGAATATTACGCAGTAAGTTTCAACTGCAGTAACGATTGGGGCTAAGAATCTTCAGAACTTTTCTTAGCTCCAGCTGTAGTAAACTCGCTTCTTAGTTTGAGAACCACGAGTCCCTCTTCAATAAATATTTGTTTTTGTGATGCCAATAAGTTTTAAAAAATTGGGATCCAATTGTTTTTTAAGTCCCCATTGTTGCCCAATCCTCAGGATAGTTTAGTTGGGAAACGGCCCAATGGTGAAAAAATCCTGGCTACGCCACTGGTATAATCAAATATTCCATAACCCAGAGTATGATTTTTGGACTGATAGGTGACGCTAGTAAGAATACGAAAAACCATACTTTGGGCTATGGTCAATCTGAGCATACCATTAGATAGAGCTCATCGAGTTGTACTTGGAACACCACTGGAACATCTCGAGCATGTTCCTAGACGAATATGGGATAGTTTTACTCGAATATGGTGCTAGCTTCACCTACGTATGTTTGATACAGGTCTTGTAAGCCCAAATCGTCTATTGATTTGTAATGAAGTGTCAAATAGCGAGTTGAAAAGAACTTTTTTTTTTAATATTCATTTGTTCATCATTAAGATGAAATACAAACTGCATAGGTTAGTTGTATATAGTACATAAGAAAAAGTCAAGCTATTTAAAATAATAAAAAATACTGTTAAACCAATGACTTTGCTAATTTTATATTCGTCTTTTTGAACTCTTTATAGGTTAATTTTATTTCATTTGATTGAATGAAGGACTCTTCTTCTTCTTCTTTTTTTTCTTACAATATTCTCATGGTTATCGTCTAACCTTCAGGAACTATTTTGTAAGAAGCACGCGACAACAATTTATACATTTTTTTGTTTCATTAATACTTCTAACTTTTTTTTACCAACAAATTAAAAAGAATATCTTTAATATTTTTATGATAGATATATAAATTAATGATCATTAGGTTTTTTCTATTTTAAGAATTTATTTGTATTTTGTTGATTTGGAAAAATGGCAAAATTTGATTTAACGAATGCTCAATTTGAAGAAATCGATAAAAATCGAGATGGAATGTAGGAATTAAGAATTTTTATCACAATAATAAATTCATATATTTATATATTTAGTATTGATAAAAAGGAATTTCACAAATGGGCTCCAGGTGCTGAAGGCCAGCCTTATTCATCATATAAATCATCAACCAGTAGATTTTATCGTAATAGTTATAGTACAAGTCGATTTAATGAAAATAAATATAGAACTAATTATACAAATGCTTCGGAATATATGGCTGATGAATATGCTTCATATGGAACTACAGCAGTAGCTAGTGATCGGATTAATGATAAAGTGATTCATACAAGTAGTCCAGAAGAAACGGATGAATATCTTAAAAAAATAGCTAATATTTATAAGGATCCCAATCCACAAATTATTCGACGAACAATCGAACGTCCAGTAATGCATGAACAACGGGTTTTTCTTCGATATCTTCGACCACCTGTTCCAGAACCAGGAGTAACGAAACAAATTTTTACAAATTCAATCCTAACAATCTTTGTATGACTTTAGACGCTCACTATTAAAGAAGTGCGTCCACTCCAGCCACGACCGCTTTCACCACTTATTATACGTGAACAATCAGCAGCTCGTTCTTCACCACCTCCACTTATCTTACGTGAACGGCCACCAACACCACCGCCACCTGTTCCCGATGAAATAAGTTAAAAAAAAATTTTTAAATTAGATGGATTAGATTGATCAATGTATTTTACTTTACAGTTACTCACCGTTTACCTACTTCACCTGTTCAATCACGATCAGTTATCATCGAACGTTTTCCATCTCCTCCAGAAAAACCACGTAAAAGAATTATCTTCAGTTTTCTTTTTGCATTTTTTTGGGAAGTATCTATGTACACATATGTGTACATAGCCAAGTGACTATATATACATATGTGTAGATAGCTGTTTGCCTATGTACACACAAGTAGGTATAACCATCATATTAGTAAATATAAAATCATATTATTATCTTATATGTATAACTTTATTAATATATATTAATCCTTCGATTACCGTGCGAAAAAAACTCCGTATAATACCATGCAAAGACATTTTTGTCCACTAATATAAATTGTCAAAATTAAACTTTATTCAATTTTATTATTTATATTTTGGTTAATATGATATATCAGAATTCTCACACAAAACGTTTGCACAGTAAGAAGCTGCTATCGATTAATTTACCTTTTAGCTAAAAAATGATAATTTTTTACTCATATGGACAAAAATGTTTATGCATAGTATTTGAAGGGTTAAATATTTTATCTTTTTAATAATTTTACCCAGGTGATTCTCGCTCGGTCGGATTCCGTCGGATTCAAATAATTGCGTCCGTATCTTGTCGGATTTTTGTCGGAATCCCATGAGCCGGGTTCCGACTGTCGGATCTGATCGGACACGTGCAAAATCCGATAGGATTCTGTCGGATTTTGTCAGTTTTTATCGGATTCTGACGAAATCCGGACCGGAATCCTGTGCAAGAATTGCTTGTCTTGGGTATTTTATTAATTCTTTATTACGTACAAATTAAGCATAAAGTACATAGTACAATTACACAATTATACAAAAAAAAATTTAAGTTAAATAAAGACCAATTAATTTAGAAGCATCTCTAGTGCTTCCTCTTTTGGACTTCGAAGGAAATGGTTGAATTTCATTATTTTCAATACATTTGACATAATGATTACGTGAAGATTTTTGACCATAAAAATTAAAGATGGAATATCTTTATAACAAAGAGAAGTCACAAAAGCCAAAGCAAATAATCCACAATCATTACCACCAATTTGTTGTTGCACACTTTCAAATGAAACCAGAACTTTTTCTTCATCAGGTAAGATGTCTTTAAAAAATTTAATAACTGATTCTTTTGGATAACTTAATGAATCATAAACTTTCCAAATATTATTACTATCTAAATTTGAAATTGTTACCCAGTGATTATTATTTGCATTGAAAATAAAAATCAAGTTCGCTAATGACCGTGTGTATAAATGAATTTGTACAGGACCACACAGCCCATTAGTATTTGGAAATTGTTTATGTAATAATTCGAAAAATAAATATATATGAAAATCGGTTAACTATGTTATTTTATCATAAACATCGCGAATTAATTCTAACTTTTTATTCCGTTTAACATTATATCCCTTTCAATCTGGTGAAGTTTGTTTATAAGTTCTTTTTTTATTAATTTGAACTTTATCGTTGATGTTATCTTTTTTCTTATAAGCAACTAAGGATTCCTTACCACGTTGTCTGCCGTGAGGTTTAATTACTGGCGA